GTATCGGAGATTGCCAGACACATAGACGCGTTGAGTAAGGATAGCTGTATACTGAAAAATCCACAGTAGCTACAGTAAGGGGATAATTCGAGAATACGGTACACATAGACCCGACCCCCAACCAGTACCCGAACCCCCCCTGAAAAATAGAGGCCATGCGCCCCCCCCCCCCTCTACCTCCCCCAGAGGATGAGGAGGGTACAGTCCAAAGTAAGCACAAGCTTACCTAAGGCTAATGCCTATTGGTACGGCATTAAAAAAAATACTAAAGTCCCCCATTGGGCGGTGGAGGACTCAGAGCTAAGGCACCCCAAAACTCTCGGGCGTGGGATCCAAAATGGATCAGACGGTGGAGGGGCGAGGGGTGTTCATTGCTTGAAGGGGGTCAATAAAACATAGAGCCATCAAAGCAAAGCCCATTGCTCTCGTCGAGCACGCTGAACGACCGGACCAACCACGCAAAAACTGCGGAGCTAGATGTGCGGCACGCACAATGCATTGTTTTCGATTGGAGAGAGGCGAGTATAAAGCAGTAAGGAATTGTTGGCCAAACTTTCGGCAGATAGGTCTACTCGGGAGCGTAAAAGTGGGGTAAACCCATGGTGGAGCGTACATGAGAAGCTGGACGTTGGTGTACGCCCCATCCCGGCGTGTGAGTAGGATCTTAGGCTATGCAAGTCGTCCCTGAACTTATTGTGGTGAAAATGACCTCCCAGGAGGAAAGTAGCCTGTACCGCGGGACTTCGGAGATGATAAATTGGGTGGTCGGGGGACGTCTGGGTGTTTATTAAGCAGAGCGCCCGGCACAAGACTAGGGTACTTGTGTCAGGAGGTGTGAACTTGGATCTAGACTACGAGCCTATGTTGGAGGCGCTATTTAGCGTCGGTGAGCCGGCGAAAGAACTGAAAGGAACCACAACCCCCGCCGGATACTCGGATTGGGAAGGCCGAATGTTCCGTATTCCTTCCTGAAAAAACACGAAAAACAAGTGGCCACGGTCCAGTTGCCGTAGAGATCATGAGGATGGTGAAGAAGCTTGGAGGATGGAAGCAGAAACTGTGGAAGGGAGACAAGCTGGAGCTGCTGCTGCTTGGGATTCCAAGGGACATGACCAGGATAGAGTTCAAGAACTGTTGTGACAGGGAGGGACTGCACTGCCTAG